AAAATGTTATCCTTTTTGATATGAATTTGAGTAAATAAATGTGTTCTAGATAATTTTTATTAAACTGACGACGCAAAAGCTAAATTATATGCAAGATGGATGTGGGTAACGAAAATTGTGCCAGAACTCCCAAAAAGGCCCTACTGCAATGTTACGTCAGAGATATTACTATAGTATCTATAATCAGTACACGTCTAGTGATACATGATTTGTAATAAAAAATTTAACAATAAAATATGCAATATGAAGTACAATTAGGTTTACATAATCTAAAATAGTATACATTCAAAGGAATTATTTAATTCAATTTAAAAAAAAAGTCAATTAATCAAATTTCTTAAAACCCTTATTGCTCAATGATATAAACTTTTGACCATCAATTTTTTCCCAATCTGAAGCGTTAGCAGCACTAGCTTCTAAATAATCCAATGTATTTAATATTGCTCTACCAAGATCCATTTGCCGAACAATCTGCTTAATTGATAATGATTTCGCACTTTCATCATTTATAGTAGATACGAATAGTAAGTATAGAATCATTATTAATAATATTATGGCTATATAATTTTGAATACCAAAACATATGTCATAACACGTCTTTTCTATCATAACCTGAATGGGACCACTTATCATAGCTTGACCAGTCGGTGTCACCATATTGACCAAGATATCAGTCATTTGTCGTTGGAACATACTGTTTATGCCTTCTTCAGTTGTGCCTTGCTCTTTCCATTGTTGTAATAAAGCTAAATTCCCAACACCATCTGCCCGATAACTACTTAAATCTTGAGAGTCCAAACTACCAGCTATGGTGTAAATCGTTATACCAGCAACACTGGCAGTTTGTGCATCAGCTATATTTCCCTATAGAAACGCACCGCCTACTGGTAACCAAAAATTATCTTGGCTTACTATCATGCTATTATTTGGAATATTTTCTCCAGTAACATTGAGGCTACCATTTTCAATATACCAATTCATTGAGACTGTCTGTTTGACCAACACATTAATATTGCCCATCGAGTTGGATTCCATATTTATTATCTTTACACTGGCTTTAACTGCTGCTGCACATCCATATAATGTTTGTTCAATTCCTCTTTCAGTAATATTAGGTGGTCCAAATACTGTCCAACAATGGACACCAACTGCTTTATCACTAATGTTATCTTGACCACCAAAACCTACACATAAAGTATCGACTGTTGATAGATTCGATGTAGTGATGTTTAATGGAAGACTACCAGTATTAATAGATTTCGGGTCAATAACAACATCAAAACTACTATAAACTTTCGATTCAATAAAAGTCCTATTAACTGTCATATTCATTTCACTTCTAGCAATGAATTGTATTAACTGACTATATCTAATGCTTCTTGATAAAAGATCGATGTTTTAACCTTTGTCACCTAGTAGATATAATTATAGAGGTTGTGCCAGAGATGGGTTTCATGTGTGCGTATGAAACCTCAATCATGCGCATGTTTCCGAATCATGCGTATTTTATCCCATCAAGATTTTATATAGAAAAATTAAAATATAAACTGGGCGCTTGAGTTGCTCAAAGGGAGTTTGAA